GAGGAGCCAGAGGAACCTGATTAACATAACAATTAAATATTAGGGAACTTTTCATACAGCACAAACAGAAAGAACACCACAAACTGCCGGTTCAATCACAATTCCTTCAGCAATTTTAATGAAAATAAACTCTTTTTGTACAATACAAAACAAATAAATATCCACGTAGCCTACAGTTCTCAGACAGACCTCTGGCCCTGCAGAGCATCGTACTGCTGTTAGTTGGAATGTGCAGCAAAACACAAGCATCTGATCAGGGCTTTTGTTGTGTTCAGGATTAGTGGGAACTGTGAGCTCTTCTGGTTAGCCCCAGGAGGCTCAACTCCACCGGCTGATTCGTCTTTTTACCTCTCATTCACAGTTCCCACTTGTCTTTAACACGAACAGTACCACACCTGCACAGGCTGCGAGTTTTGTCTCTTAACAATCCATGATCCCTCTTTGGGGGAACTTCCACCCTTCCAGGCAACACCGAGGGGGTTTCACAAAGTCGAACTGCTACTATGGCTTGCTTATTCTGCGCAGGGTTCAAACAAATTGTTTAGGATGGAATGACCACAGATTGTCACTTTCAAAAATATTCTAATGCAAAAAGAAAAAGAGTGCATGGTTCCTCCAGAAATAACCTGATGATTTATAGGGCCAGTGTGTAACATTCAGGAGGATCTATGGTCAGAAATGAAATATAATATTCATAGCTACGTTTCCATTAGTGTATAATCACCTGAATATAAGAATAGTTGTGCTTATGTGACCTAAGAATGAGCTGTTTTTATTTACAGAGGGAGCGGGTCCTCTTCTACACAGTCCGCCATGTTTCTACAGTAGCCCAGAAGGGACAAAACAAACACAGGCTCTAGATAGGGCCGTTCAATGCCACTAAATCCTACACATTGTTCCTTTAAATCCATTTCTTTTTTGTAAAAAAGTATAAATTCAAGATAACCTTTATTTGGTAATGTAATCAGAAAATAAGGCAAATATTTTAGGCAATTTTGTTTCTGTTTATTAAAGCTGCAATAGGTAACTTTTATAAAAAATAATATTTTACTCCTAATGGCATTTGCAAGAATCCAATGGGCCTTAATGGAAACAACCAATCAGAGCAGAGAAAGATAGTTGTTTGTTGAGTCTCATTCCCAAAGTGTCTGTATTTAACAACCCAGGAATGAGACTTAACATTCAACGAATTTCCTTGGCTCTGATTGGTCGCTTTTGCCCAGTGGATTCTTACAAATGCCATTAGGAGCTCTAGGAGTAGAAGAAAATTTCAGCAAATATGAAAAAAAAAAAAATGTTTTTAAATCACCTACTGCAACTTTAAACCAGTTAAATCAGGAGTGAATTTGTAGAACTTCTGAAAGTTTTGGGATCCAGAAGTTAAACTGGACAGTACAGTCCATGTTATTCTTTGATTAATAGAAAATGTATCTAAGAATCTTTTAGATGATGTAGGAATTGTTTTGGTAATTTATCAAGCAATACATGCCAAACAAATAGCTTTTCAGGTGTGAGGGTTTACTGCTTCGTAAACTAAATCTAATTGTTTTTGTGGCAAAACAAAGCATTTAAAGACACCTAGGACTGTGAGAAATAGTTTGGTGACATTTTACAGAACAATTATTAGTTGATGAATCCAGAATAACAATCAGGTTCAAATTTGATCAAAATAATCTTTAGCTGTAGTGCGTGTACAACTTGCAACTGATAAATCTCAAAAGTTTACTGACGATGTGCAGAGTTTACTGTATCTACTACCCTCCGGTGGACACTTTTGGTAAGAAACATCCAAGGTACAAGTCTTTGTGAAACCCCCTTTAAATCAGACCATTAGTAAAACAGACAGGTTATGGTTTTACATATTTCATATACAAACTCTGATAAATATTGTGTATGGGGAGAACAACACGGCAGTTTTTTTCCTCTACATTCATTCCACACAAGCAGGATTTTCGATCGCCAGAGAAAAATATGGCAAATGCAAAAACTCGTGGGTGTTTTTAAGAGTAAAGCTGTTCATATACACAAGGTGTAGCCCTTGCCTCTTAATTCAAAAGGTTTCAATTAGAGATGTTCTATACCTTTAGAAGATGTGTGACCCTCCTAAACAGACAGGGAATTTATGATTTAGAGAGATGGACTACAAAAATGTTATGTTCCCTTTCACTAATTCACATCTTCTCTGCTGCTAGCAAAAAAATCAGACATTCACATCTTTCATTTACATATGAAATGTATTGTTTCCAGCCTAGGAACCCAACCGATCTGTAAGCTAATATTTAATTTGCTCAGGCAGATAGAATTCACATTTGTGAATTAGTCTGGGGATGCCAGGCTGTAGAGTTTTAATCATGTTCTGTAGTGTATCTTTTCATTTTAAGGTAGTGAAATCAGGAGAATGTCCCAAGTAAAATCAGCAATGATCTTTCTTCCCCTGGGACCAGACCGTTTTCCCATCTGAATATAAAATTAGTGCCTCCTAAAGCAGGCCCAAAATGTCCACAACTGTACAGTGAAGGGAGCTACAATATAACTGGATGTTTAATACATTTCACTCAAGGTCAGTCTGAAGTCAGTTTTTGGCCTGGCCAGGACCCAGTCACTCTGTTTCTCGGTTGTCACCAACAACTTATTAAATCTCACAAATCACATTTATGCAAAATCATTACTGCAAAATGTCAAAATACACTGCTTTATCAAATGCCTCTTTCCCAAAGCAGAGACACATAGACAGTCTGGTGTGGAGACGGGACAGTGTGTTTGGGGGCAGGTGACATTCAGGCTTCTGCACTACCTTGTTTCTAAGGAGAGGACATTCGCAGAAGCAACAGGACAAGCAGAGAGGTGCTAGTGCGGACGGCCACACTGCATTGTACAGGTTCAATGTGGATTAGGTGTCTAAGAGTTGTAGTGCATTATGTTCCTTATTAGCTGTGTGTCTGTGTCTGTGAGATGAAATGGTACAAGAGAAAATTACTCATTACTCATTTTAAATACTTTTTAGGATTATAATCTGATCCATGTCTTCAAATATGACTCATGTTTGAATCATTTACAGTAATTCTGGACTGGTTCTGTTCTAAAAATTGGTCATTTACTTTTTCTTATTTAAATGCTTGTAGTATTTTCTTTTTTTTAAGACAGGAGTAAATGTGAGTAAAATGCTTCTGTACTGCTTCCACTTGTGTTGTATGCATGCTTTTATATATTTATTTATGTTGTCCACAAATCCAGAAGCCTGTTTCATGTCTTTATGAGTCCAGCCGTCAGTGTGGATGTTTGAGGACTGTTCTTCTGAACTCCCCCTGAAAGAGAAGCCAGAGCAGAAAACACTGTTAGTCTCTTAGAAAGCACTCTAATAATCCAGGTGAGAAAACATTGCATGTAATGTTGCAGGCTTGCACCAAAGCTCATCTATCACACTGAGCTCAGTGAGGTGTCCGATACAGTATGTAAACTAGAGTGCAGGAACTGTAGCCTTTTTATTTGTTTAAATAGTAACATTGTGCCTGGTAACACCAGAAAATGCCAAAAAAGCAAACATGTATTTGCATCTCCGTGAGAAACAGATGGTGCTGGCAGCTCGGCGACATGGTGGCAACCTGCAGGGCCAGCTGGTGGCCACGTCAAAGCTGGTGAGCTATTCTGTAAAATGCTAGCTCTAGCAACTAAAGTAGTCAGCCAAGGAGGCTTGCAAACTGCCAGTTAAGTGAACAAGCTCTGTTTCAGTTAAAAAGAAAAACGTTAGCAAGATATTTTTATTCATTTCTTCTCATTAAAAAGAATGAGAAGAAAAAATGTTAACAATCCAGCTTTTTGAACAATTGCAGTTAACAATACAAAAAAAGGTTACCAAGCAAGTTTTCTCAACTGTTTCCAGTTAAAAAGAAAAACGTTAGCAAGCTATTTTTGTTTATAGTCTCAATTAAAAAGAAGAAAAAATGTTTGCAAGCTAGCTTTATGAAATGATTCAGGCAAAAAGAAAAATGCTAGGAAGCCGTTTTATTCACCGTCTCAATTACAAATATAAAAAAAAGAAAACGTTAACAAGCTAGCTTTTTGGACCATGTCAATTACAGGACGATAAAAGTCAGCAACCTAGTCTTTTGTACTTTTTTAATTAAAACTACACAAAAAGTAGTATGACGGCAGCTTTCCAGGGTTCTTAATGTGCATGTAGTAAATTGTATGCTAACATGTTAGCCATATCTTCTTGATTGGCATCTCTGTTGCTCTAAATTCCTTTTTTGGGGGGTCAAAAATGGCTTAATGCAAATTGTTATTGTATAGGTTAACCTAATGAGAATTATTGAGCCTTACAGGTGCTGGTAGGGGAATCTTTCAGAGAGCTAGACTAGCTATTTAATCCTGCCTCAAGTCTTTATACTTAAATTAGAATAACCATATCCACATAGGAAATAAACAAATTAGCCCAAAGCACTGCAGTTGAGGATATTCCTTATATATTAGCAGTTCTATCCAAGCACCAAGGCAACACTGCCATAAATCTGAAACATGCTCTCTAGAAAACATTTTATATTAATTCTCCTGATTGTGTTTTTCTAGATTCTCATTAATAGATACTGTATATTGTACCTTGTGTCACTGCTGATGTCCTACTGTCTCTCCACAAGCCTCCTCCTCCATTCTCTCCTCCTCCTGCTCAACGTCCTCCTCCATCCTCTCCTCCTCTGATCTCCGGTCTCCCTCTCTGGCTGCTGGAGTGCAGCTCTGTCGCCCTCGTTGCCTCTGGCTGCGCCGGAACTTGCGCGTGAGGCCTTTCCTCCTCGGCCCCAGGGAGGAGGAGGAGGAGGTCGGGGTCGTTGCCGGACTCGGAGATGAAGAGGAAGGGGAGGAGGGTTTGGACCTTGACAGAGGGCTCTGGGCTGGGGAGGGTGGAGCTGCTGTGGATGGAGGATGGCTGGCAGATGTAGATGTTATGGCTGCAGAGGGCTGTGCGTGTGAGCCGGAGGAGGCGCAGGGTGTTTGGGATGGGTAATCGTGTGCTTGGTCCTCCAGGTCTGGTTGTGGTGCGTAGGAAGTGCAGACGGTGGACGAATCAGGAGCTGTAGAGCAGCCAGCTGCTTCATCGTCATCAGGACCTCTGGGAGGAGAGTCTGAGAGAATAATGAGCACATAGGTACACATGTCAAAGTCAGACTGTGCACTAAGAAAGAATTATGATCCTTGATGGGAAAATAAGAATCTTGCTTCCGTGTTTCCTCCTACCAGGGCCACTGCTGGTCTGGGACTCATCGGTCATTGGTGGCTCTGCCTCCTCTTGGATCGTTGGTACTGATGCTAGTAGACCTGACACACACACACACACAAATACACCGAACTGTGATATAATTCTCCGACCTACCGCTAGGCGTATCTATGAAAGCCAAAAAGACATATATTCTATAACCACATCTTAAACTCACTGTTAGAGACTCGTTTCATTTGACCGACTCCTACTTTCTATTCTAATTCAACATTCTTATCAACAATTCCTTTTTACTATGATTTTGTGTATAAGAATGAGAAAAGGAAAGCAGATACATCTTTAAATTATAGTCTCTAAAAGTCTCAAGTACAGAAAATATCTGTGTGACTGCTGCAGAGTCATGGCTTTTAAAGTTGGATATGTGACTACTTTTGTGCAATATGATCATTTTGTTATCAAAGTATCAAAACAGCTGAGCTCTTAATTAAAGCTGCAGTAGGTCATTTTATAAAAATAAAGTTTCACTATATTCACCACACCCTGACAGTAGTCTCATGTACTGTTATATAGTGAAAGTTTCAGCAAATATGACAATAAGTTAAGTTCTATAAAAGTTACTTAATGCAGGTTTAAGGTATGCAACTTTTACATAAATAACTTCTGAAACTATATCCACAAATACATCCTGTCACACGCCCAGGTGATCCATCAGGACGCCCTATTACGACCTTTTCTGGGTAAACAAAAGGTCTATCTCTGTAGGGATCCTTTACATAATACTGTCAGACACTGTCAGTGGCAAAAACAAGCACTTTTAGTGGACGTACTTTGACAGGCGCATTTGTTGCCAAGGATTAGCTAATGTTACATGTCAGCCAGTTTCATAGCTATTTTCTTATCTAACTCCTGAATTAAGGATTTATTTTGACCAAACCAGAGTTGGTGATTGTTGGCAAGACTACAAAAGACAGTTTTTTTTTTCTACCCAGTTTTAAGTGTGTTTTACAATTATCTGCTAGGTAAAATGACTTGAAATAAGTTGCTGTTGCTGTAGTGCAACATCTAAGTGAAGTGGTTCTGATGCATGTGAGGTATGCATGTTTAGGAGCCAACAGAGAGCTTTGTTCCACTTTTTTGTGAGTTTTTATATTTATTGGAAAACTATTTACAACATTAGGCTTTAGAGCAATGTTTCTGATCATAAGAGTAAGAGAGCTAGTTACTCGTCAAGTTTTTTTTTTAAATTTTCATACAAGTTGCTTTATTTTACGGATATTGCCACAATTTACTCGTTCGGTACTAAAAAGTGCATTACTTATACCGGATACTCGTTTCAGCCGAGCACTCGCTCAACCCCTCATTAGCAGTAATTTAATAGAGTAGTGTTGTCACGATACCAAAATTATTGTTTCGATACCGATACCAAGTCAAGAATTGCGATTTCGATAAGCAGAAGAAAATGGAAATATTTAAAATATTGGATGGTGATAAATTTGTCATAACAGAAGACCCTTAAATAGTTGATGTGATAGAAGCATAACTTGTGACTAATTTAGCATCTCTATATGCAGTGGGTTTAGTAGTGATAACTGCTAACATTTACTTAACCATAACATTCACCTAATTTAATAATAGGAAATAATTGAGTTAACCTTAAAGATCTTGATATATGGATTAATATAAGGCTATATGTCTCTGTATGTCGTCTGATTTTCTTATGGTTAACTTATATATATATTTGGAGTCCCATCATTTTTTACAAGGCATCTTGACAAATACACTTCTTTGCGCTAGGTCTGTGCTCTTTAAATGCCTGGTAATAACCTCATAGAAATAAATCACTGACAACATGCACAGTGCTCCTGATTATAATCATATAGCCTAATAGATCATTTTAGCTGATGTTTTTGTATGCTTTATTTTAGCAGCTTGCAAATTATTAACGTATTCTGTGAAAGTTGCGTTTTCAGAGATGTTGAATTAGCCGTAGGCAGCTATTGGTTAGCCATGGAGGATGTAATGCCCATAGTTAGCCTAAACTATTTCTCCTAGATAGCCTCGTCAAACTACGGTGGCGCCAAAATTAGTGACTTCTCACAAAATAAACCCGCCCTACTCATTTGACTTATTTGAAGGGCATGAACGTGATCGTGTTATCTTTCACATATACGAACCTGTCGGTCTTTAAACTCCTTGTACAACTCGGCGGTGCTAGTGTTTCGCCAGGTTCGAGCTGTCCATTTGTTTACATTTGTTTGTAGCACTGACGACAAACAGGTTTCGACTTATCGGTAAGGCTTGCCCTCACTGTCAAGCAAGGTAGGCAAAGTACTTTCATATTTCACTCCTCACGTCATTTTTTTCTAAACAGTCGTGGACCGCTGGCCACAGTATCCACTTGTGCTCACACATGCAGCCGTCCTCGTTATAAGTTTTTTTTTCACATGACAGCTGCAGCTTCTTTGCTGCGTGCGTGAGGAGAAAAAACACAGACGTCCACAGGGAGGCACTGGAAGCATGCGTTGCACACACCAACATGAAATCTTACAAATCAAAAATATTTATTATTATTTATTTATTATTATTTATTAAATTTTATATAAATTTAGGAATCCTGACGTTTTTAATTTCTGAGAATCGGATACTTTTGAAGTATCGGGTGTACCGTGCAACACTATTACTCAACATTTAATTGTACTGCAGTTCTTCTGACCTCGCAGCTGTGCTAACAGAGTAATATATAAGAAATACACCTGTATGTAGCAGTGACACTTTATCATTCTTCAGTATCAATGCCCTGAAGATTTGTTAGCAACCATTTCTTTTTTTATTCCAACCTTACAAATGCTAAAAACTGGCCATCACCACACTTCCTTTAGCTAAACTCTGATAAGCTACGATCACAGGTCCAGACTCTTCCATTGATCACATTTTCCCCCACTTAGGTTCTCTGTTCTCCTGCATCCATGCACATGTGACGTCTGTTGTTTATTTAGCTTCTTTTCAAAATGTATATTTTTTTCTGCAAGGAACAAGAGAGCTATTCACCATGCTATTATTAGATTACTGTAACTCGCTATGTTCCTGCCTGAGTCAATACAACCTGTTTTTTCTGATTAAGCGACTAATAATTTCAGCTGTACAGAAGGCAAAATACACAAGCATGTATGTTAAAGAACTAATTGCACCATCTTAATTTGTTGGAACTAAACTGAACTGACAGGGTATGTAAGCAGGTTCAAACCCCACATTAAGCTCAGTGTTAGGCCATCAAGTCCTATCAAGATTTCCTTAAGCAAGACACTGATCCTCTCTGCGCTTATTAGTCGCCACAGTGTAGAGATTAACTGAATTATCTGCTACTTGTACCTAAAGACAAAGCAACTGACTCACAGAGAGACCAACACACCAAAGTCCATGCAAAACGCAGAAAACCTGTGATGTCTACTGGCCAAATGAATTAAACACACTGGCTCTATGATATACAAGCAGACACAGATACTGACCATTTGTAGCGACCGACTGGGTCCCAGAAGCCGGGTCGAGGCACTGTACAGGGGCCACACACCGCCTGCTTGTACAGACTGTAGAAACGCAGCATCACCTCATAGGACGGCCGATAGGAACCTGCGAGATAACACAGACAGCTGTTTGGTTTGTTTAAACGTACAAACATACTGGAATCACTTCACTCACTCACTGTTTTTATTATCGCGATATGCAATAATATCATACATCCCTACCAGGGGGTCTCTCACACCAAAGCAACAAAAGACGCAGTATGATGTTTGGTGAAGTAGCATAGGATGTGATAACATGGGAGTTGTTGTGTTCATTATTAAACAACCACCGCTGCTGATGGAAATCTATCTGACCTGACTCAGGCAGAAATTATGTTCACAGACGAGGTAGTTTTATTCACATTCTTTTCAGTCACATTTGCCTCCTCTCACTCTCCACCGTTTACACAGAAGTTATAGCAACTAGAGGCAAGTAAGAAACATACAGTTATCTGACTAAAATGACAATTTCTCTGGGTGTGAGCATCGTTGGAAACATTCACAACTCTATACACTATATAACATAAGTCTAGTCTAAAATGTTAACATATTATACCAACTACCTATTTCTCTATTCAGGTTGAGAAAGGAACCCAGTAAGGACTGCAGATCACTAGACAGTGCTTCTCATTGACAACAATACATACAGTATGGAATGTTTTACAAATCATAGAAAGTATGATCACTTGCATGTAATAATACAAATAATACTAATAGGTGATATTGTTTTCAAAGTTTGTTTATATGACCAAATACCCAGGAGATAATACATGCTGTTAAGGCCACACTCGGTTTTTAATGATCTGGTTTTACACTCTCTCTGCGCAGCATGAATCACATCTGCACCAACAGGTCAACTGCCCCGAGGCTTCTGAGCTACACACTTCAACTCTCCAACAATAAAGACCCGGTCTCATGAAGCTACAGTCTGACCAGCAACAAACCTTCATCACATGGTGTGTGATGTAAGGTGATGTCTGGAAAAAGGCTACTTACCATTTTTGGGGAGGTTATGGATGACATCCACAGCAGCCTGAAACCGTCTCTGGTGATCAACCACGGTCTCTGCCATAGCTGGGACCGGCATGACACTGGGACTTGTTTAATCGAGCTGGACTGCGACTGGAGCTGAGAGAGCACACAGACACAGTTATAGCAAGTCTGTTAGGAGAGCGCAATCAATAAGTAACTGTATTCACATCATGTTGCTTCTTTAAACTCATCACCGGCTAATGTATCTTTCTAAACGGGACATAATATCTGTCTGTCCTGTATGGTGAAGAATATTCCTGGACAATGATTTGTTAAACAGGAGAGGGAAACCTGAGTCTAACGCTCAGCGCTATGGACATGCTCTCCTGTCCTTCCACTGATCGCTACGTTTCATCTCCCCACAGATGTATTTGGAGAGTCTTCATGGTGTGGTTATAGTGGTAAAACAGAGCAGTGGGACAGTCAGACAGAGCTAACGTTATATTCAATGTGAAATCACCTGAAACACTATTTACTTCATGTATATTCAATAAAAGAAACCATTAAAGTCCAATGCAGAACACAAGCTACATAACCCTGCCGCCCAGCACTGTGTCCGTACTGCTGATACACGTTAATACGCAGTCTATATGGCGCATTAACGACTTTCGCCGATTATAACATTTTCTGATGGATTTAATCTCATGCAATTTCGGGCTGAACAGAAGACTTGCCGGTGGTTCAAGTTAAAAGCACACACATGATATTCTGCTGCACGTTTATGCTGAAAAACAACGCATTACCAAACCCCGGGGTTTGCGTTGGTAAGGAAAAACAACACCGTCAAGTGCGATGAATTAAAGTTAGTCGAGCTAGCTAACTTAACGTTAGCTAGGCGCTCCGGTGTAGCCTGTTAGCTTGTTAACTTGTTAACTTGTCTTACCTCACTGGCTGTGTGTCCTGTCGCTTGCCATCCCCGCTACCAGCACGGAGTGAACAGACTGTCAGAGAGAGCACACAGACACGGTAACGTTCAATGAGCCGACCGGGAACTGCCGCTTCGGCTACTTGTACGTTTACTACGAAACGGAAGTTTATTGGCGAAACTGCCCACGAACCTACCTGGGCTGCAACTGACCTATCGTCGGTACTGTATGGAGAGGACTTCCGTGTCAAGTCACGTGACACGTCATTGACCGCGCCCACTTGAACATTTAAAGGGACACCCATAAAAAAAAACATGAATTAATGAATAAATTATGAATAATACATTAATAAAATAACAATAATAGAAATTAAAGAACTCAGAGTTGCAATACTAGTATCTTCTTTAAATTGTCTTCTGTAAAATCAAATGGCTTACTGATAATTTAATTTCTATCTCCCTAAGGCGTTCATGTATACTACATACACATAAACGTACATGTGTATATTGTTTTTTTTCCCCTAATTTTGTTTTTGTTATTTGATTTGAATTTCCCTTTTCACTTCATGTTTTTATTGATTTATGTTTGTGTTTTGTCACTGTACAACTCATTATTGGATTAAAAGTGCTATAACTAAAATGTATTATATATTTCTATTGACTTATTATCCTATATTATCTTAAAACAAATGACCTGAACTGAAATGAACAAAACAATAAAAGCTACATGTGATACATAAAGCAAGGCACAAAAAAGAAGCATATCGTAGAAAAATGAATACATAAGCTTTAATG